GGTGGAGGTGGGGGCTTCCGTTTCTTCTCCCCTCTCTGCCCCCAAGCAACCTTTGTCCCCTAAGCCCAAGAATAGGTAATGCCAAAAGCTGTTATGCTTTACCTGTAGGTATGTGGAAGAGGGTGGAAATTGCATTGTAGGACCCTCCCTGCCCCCAGACTGTGACGTTTGCCACTGACCCAAAGACAGCCAGCCAGTGGGATTTCCCCTTGGAGACAATCCTGTGTCTGCCTGGACTGCTGGGGCCTCCTGGGCCCTGCTAGGCCTGTGGAACCTCAGGCCACTTGCTTTGGCCTGGAGCTGTCTCTTGCTTGGACTTTGGCTTTGAACTGCATTGGGCCTCGGGTGCTGTTAACCAAGTGGGGGCTAGGCCTGCTCGGGATTGTGTTTTCTAGCACCTTCCGGGGGTAGGAGTGGGGGTGGTCCTCTGGGCCAGGCTGGAACTAGAACCCCTCCTTCCCTATCTTGCCCTGCCACGTCCCCACGTGGCTGCTGTAGGAGCCAATGTTCAGGTTTCCTGCACAACAGGGCAGGCTTGTGCCAGGTTGGAAGCCCTGATAGGGTGGGGAGGGGCCGGGGAGGGGATACCTGGCACAGAGCATTAAGCCCTATGGAAGAATCGCCAGCTGGGTGGGGAATGGGGTTGCACAGGCCAGAAATGCCGACGTGAGCCTGGAAGCCTCCTAGACTAAGGCCCAGTTTAAGGTGCACTGATGGGCCGAGAATTTGTTCTTCTGTAGCCGGGGCAGACACCCAGCTGGCTGGGTCCTTCCTCAGCCTCGCCTCCTTCCAGTCTCCCAACCCTTCTTTCTTCTCCCTGCTTCTGGACTGCTGTTTCCCTTTCCCCCCTTCCCCTGAATGCTTGCTAGTTACCACTGACCTGTGGCCATGAGCCGATCAGACCAGCAAACAAAATAAAAGTGGATTCCCAGTTGCCAGCATTGAAGTCGCTGCCCAGCACCCCAGGCAGGTGCTGCTCACAGGGCGTGCCATGGCGCTGCCTGCCCTGGTTGGCCCCTGAGCAGCTCGGAGCAGTGCCGGGCAAGCTGGGCCCAGGCTCCTCCCCGAGCTGTGACCCAGGCAAGTTACCAACCTCCTCTGAACATCAGTTTCCTCATCTACAGTTAGAGGCACATCACTCTGTCAGGGTGATAAGGACTCAGGGAATCCAGGAAGGCCCTGATAGGGTGCCCTGGCCCACGGGAGGTGCTCAGTAAATGGTCACCATGCTCTACCATCTGTGCCGCCATCTTGTCCTGGGCCGGATGGGGGCTCCCTGGTCCAAGAGCTGGGGGTCAGGCACGGAAGGAAAAACGTGGCAATGATCTACCTGTTGGTGCTGTGTGGCTGGGACTACCAGGTGGCCTCACAGCCTCCTTGGTCTTGGATACTCACCACCACAGCCACCAGGTAGGTGCTGTTAGTTCCATTTTTCCAGCTGTGGAAACTGAAGCTCAGAGAAACATCCAGCACTGTAACTGCCAGGCCCGCACCAGCCCTTCCCCTCAGCTCTCCGGTCGGCAGCTTGCCCTTTTCCTCTTGTTCCTGCCTGTTTTTCCTGTGGTCTGTTGGCTGTTTCCCTCTTGCCCTTTGGCCCTAGTCCTGCTTGGGAGGGCTTCTGCTGGCCCAGCCCACCGGGACCTGTCCAGCGGGGCTCTGGTGCGGCGGCCCTGCCTCGGGCCCGTGGCAGCTGCTGTGGGCTTTACGCCTCCGCAGGCCTTTCTCATCGCTCTCAGCGGATGGAAGCTTCTGTTCGGACTCTTTGGGTCCCTCCCAGTGGCAGTGGTGGCCATAACCACTGTCTCCATTTGGAAGCTGTGGCCACCCCCTGGCCCCTGCCCTCATCAGGAGGGCCGGTCTGGATCCCTGCTAACCAGGTGCACGCCAGCTAGCAGGCAGCTGAGCCAAGCATTTCACTGTCATTACCAGGGATGATTAAGGTCCCTACAGGTCCAAGTTCTACCAACTCTCCATTTGGAACAAGACACCAGCCCTTTTGTAGTTGATAAAAGAATAAAGTTGTTAATCCAATCATCTCCCCTGGCAAATCCTGGCCCTTCTGTGTGTGTGGAGTAGTTAGCAGGAGCAAAGCCCTCTGAGGGTGGGATGGGACAGAGATGGCTCTGATCCGGGCAGGCACTTCTGACGAAACAAGTTCCCAGCCGGGACCACAGTTCTGGCTTATTGGCACCGGGCACATATTGAAGGAAGGGAACGGGGATGTGCGAGCTGCAAGGAGAAGTGGATGTTTGGGGTTGTAGGACTTACTGAGGAGGAAGATGGTGTGGGGGGCTGTGCCATGAGGGGTACAGGATGGCACATGCCACGCCCTGAAGGGACACGGGCAGAGGCACTGAGCCTCGGACCGAGGGTGGCAAGTTCCGGGGAGTTGTTCACTGGCGCTGTCTGGGTGCCCTCTTGTTGAGATCCCATGCAGGGAGGTTGGCTGAACCGATGAGGGCCGGGCACAGGAGCCAGGAGAGCGAGGCTGAGCCGAGAGGGGTGCTGGCCCTCAGCCCCAGGCTGGGTTTGCACTCTGGCCAGCACCCTCTTCTGTGGCAGTCTGCCACGTGACCAGGATCCTGCTTCTATTTTCTCAGCTGGGGCCGGGTGCCATGGTCAGGACGAGGTGTGAGAGACCCACTGGGAGCTACCCCTGAGCCCGTGAACAGGGCCCCTGGAGTCAAGAGTCTGGGAAGGTATTTGCAGGTAGGATCAGGACCTGTGTTCTCTGAGCTGGCAGATTCTGGCCCTTCAGGGGACCCACGGAGGCATCACAGTGACACCTGGTCCCATCCCAGGGACATGGGACAAATATGATCGCCATGGAAGGGGGTCATGCTGCACTCAAGGTGGGAGCGGTCAATAGTTCAGATCGTAGTCTTCTGCTCACACAGCACTGAACAAGCAGAAAATGCGCCCGCTTGGTAGTGGGTATCAGTGACGGCTCACAAAATCCCTCACTTCCTGCTCCTGCCAGCTCTGAGCCCTGAAACCCGCCTGGAGCCGGCCCTGCACCCCCCACCCCCACCACATCCAGGTTTTAGGCAGAGGTCAAAGCAGAGGCCCAGCTTCTAAAATGTAGGTGCAAGTCTTTGGGGGTGTCGTTCTTGCTCAGAACTAATTCTCCCCATTTCCCACGAGCAGTTTCATAAATAGCCACCACAGCCATGAAATCCTAGGCATAATTTATTCTGTTTTGCATAGGCACGAATTAGAATCTGGAGATACAGAATTAAGAACCAACTGCAGCATTTGTGACGGGAGAGCACAAAACAAAACCTGGTTGACTCGGGCGGGGGTTGCGCAGGGGTTGCTGCCACGGGAGGGCCACTCATTGCAGCCGCACCCTCTGGGAGCCAGCTTGGGCCCAGCCCTGGCCCCACAGGCCAGAATCGGCCTGTACAGCCGGAGCCACTGCGCAAGCCCTTCTGCAGCCAGGTAAGGAGAGGCTGAGTATCACCAGGCGCCCCACAGAACGGGGCTAGGAATCAAGCCCTTA